GCAGTAGGAATAAGTGAAATTACATATAATCAACAGACAGTTTCGGATGATACAGAAAAAGCAACGTGCTTCAATAATTACTTTCGGTCTGTCTTTTTGCCCAAACACAACTATGTTAATCCATCCACTGTTAGTACGGTGGAATTAATGCAGCCAGTTGAGCTTGGCATGAGTGGTATTGAGAAGGCGTTAAAGAACATAGATGAAACAAAAGCAACTGGACCGGATGGCATTTCTCCGCGTGTACTAAAGCGATGTGCTTACCCAATTTCAGTTTACCTTTATTTAATTTTTTCCAAGTCACTGGACACAGGACTTTTGCCAGATGACTGGAAGGTAGCTCATGTCGTTCCTATCCATAAGGGGGGGCCAAAAAAAGACGTCGTAAATTATAGGCCCATTTCATTAACTTCCGTCTCATGCAAAGTCATCGAACATATTTTATATTCAGAGGTAATCGGTCATATGATAAGAAACAACTTGCTGATTAATGAACAACATGGTTTTCGTAAGGGGTTTTCATGTACTACGCAACTTGTTGAATTTTATCATGACCTTGCATCTGATGTCGATGAGGGAGGGCAAATAGATTGTATATTCTTGGATTTTAGAAAAGCGTTTGACACGGTCTCACACTCACTTCTTCTCAACAAACTAAGAATGTTAAATTTAGACTCGGCTGTGCTTAGATGGATAGAAAATTACTTGTTCCAGCGTCGTCAATGTGTAGTACTGAATGGCAAGAAATCTGATTACGTTGATGTAACATCAGGAGTTCCACAGGGCTCTGTCCTGGGTCCACTTTTGTTTTTAATTTATATTAATGATATTTCTGTTGGAATTTCCTCTTCTATTCGACTTTTTGCTGATGATTGTGTAGTGTATAGAAAGATTAAGAGTTCAGATGATGTCGCCCAGTTGCAAGCAGACCTTGATCGTATTCAAAGTTGGTGCTCTACGTGGAAAATGAATTTAAATCACAAAAAGTGTGTTAACCTTTGTTTTACAAAGAAAAGGAAACAAATTGAATCTCAGTATTTTATAAATAATAACCCTATAACCAAGGAACTTACTTACAAATACTTGGGTGTCATATTGTCATCTGACTGTTCATGGAATGCCCACATAGAGGAAGTAGTCTTAAAAGCTGGCAGGGCAATGAATTTTATCCGACGTAACTTAAAATGCTCACAACCTAACTTAAAGACAACTGCTTATTTAACATGTGTTAGACCCATTTTAGAGTATGCATGTGCTGTCTGGGATCCAGCCCAAAAAACGTTGATAGATAAGCTGGAGAAAATACAAAACCGGGCGGCTAGGTTTGTTCTTGGACGATACGGGAGGAAAGAAAGTTGTACAGAAATGAAAAAAATGTTAAACTGGGAACCACTTTCCGTACGTCGGGAAAAACTGCGACTAAACTTTTTATACTCAATAGTTTAAAATAAAACGGGAATAAATAGCGAGACTTACTTAAAAGAACCCTATTATGTTTCTAGTCGTAATGATCATAGTCTTAAAATTAGAGAGTACCGCGCTAGGACATGCATGTTTGCAAACTCCTTTTTTGTACGAACAATTGCACAGTGGAATCGGCTGTCTGAAGAGCAAGTGTGCTGTTTCAATGAAGACGTGTTCTTTTCATCCTTGTAACCCCCCCTGCTGTAACGCCCTCGGGCACTGCGGGGTAATCATTGAATAAAGAATAAAGAATAAAGGTGAATGGTGTTGACTGCGACGCCACGTACCCTGGAGAAACCTGCAGACGGAGAAGCAACCGGCTTAAGGAGCACAGAAGGAATGTGGTGAAGGCCACCCACGTCACGAGAAGTAAATCCGAGCTCGTCGACCACAGCTGGACGACTGGGAATACGTTTGACTTTGACAATACGTCGAACTTGGCTCGTGAGCAGCGTTGTGGCCCGAGGAAGCTCGTGGAATCGTGGTTTGTCCGCCGTGACCGCAAGGCATGCAACACAAACCGTGGCACATGACGCCAAACGCGTTCTCCACGAACTCTCTCCGGAACCTCACCGTCGCACCCGGGACCTGTTCAGCCGGCGTGGAGTGCAGTCCTCGCCGGGCCTCGACCTTGCGCTTGGCCTCCTAGGCACGATAGTCGTCCGTGGCGTTCGCCCGCCGGCGGCTTTCCAGGCGAGCGATGTGCTCTTTGGCAAGGGGATATGAAGCGCTAGACGGGCAGTGGAAGTCGAGGAACAGCAGCTTTGTGGCGATTGCGGACCCATTCGCGCTGCTGCGTACGTCACCGCTCCTTCCGCAGCCTGTCACTTTTCCGCGAAAGGGCTCGAGGCCGACTCATCGTGATTCCGAACCGAATCTGATAAGAGCGTTGGAGCGTAGGAAACAGCGCGCAAAACAGACGAGAAGGAAGAAACAAACGTGACGAGCGCTGCACTCGTCACGTGTGCTTCTTCTTCATCGTCGTCTGTTTTTCGCGCTGTTTCCTGCGATGAAGTCCCACCAACGCGCCCAACTATCAATTCTTCTATGATAGCTGTAGAGTGCCTTCATACACGCGCGCGCTTTTGCTCGATGTGGTGACATCTCAGCCATTTTTCCGCCCAATCGGTTTTTTTTTGCATTTTTAAGTGCGCGCAATCTGGTGTAACTCAGCTCGAGCGCGAAGCTTTGGCTTATGCATAGAGGCCATTTTACCGCTCAAGTCACGCACCGAGTGTGCGAGAGCGTAACGCGCTGGCACATTCAGGGCAAGAATGGATGTCTTCACCCTGAGACAGACAGACAAGTAGGCACCCTAGATAGCTGGAAAGGTTGCCGCCATCTACGAGCAACGGCGGAAACCATACTGGTTGCGTGCTTGCCGCCGTCGCTTATAGATGGCGGTAGCTGTCCAGGTAGGTTTGTGTCGACATACCGGACACGATCCTGGGGAACCTAGCGCTTAACAGCTCCGCTGTAAAAAAAGAAAAAAAAAACAAAAAAAAAAAAACATCACCAGCCACGGTGAGTCAATGGCCCTCCTCCGCACATAGCACATATTGTTTTTCTTGGTTGTGAAGCGTGCTAAAAGGACTGTCACATCGGGGCACTTCTTCAAAGCACACCGTGCTACCATATATATTTTGTTTTCTTTTTTCCTTTGTGATAAAATGTTATTGAAGGACTGCTTACGCATTCTTAACATTTTTCGGTAGTTGTACTTCGCTTGAGCTGAAGTCCATACGCTGCCCACGCTACGAGCTAATGGGACCAATCACTCAGCTTCAAAAGCGCAAGTCACTGGGCATTTATTTCTATGACTGGTTCACGGTGATAATGAAACACGAAAAAAACATGACGAACACCATAAAGGTGCGTTTCTGACGCTCTCTGATTGGTCCCGCCAGCTCGGTGCGTCGGCTGCGTCCGGGCTTATGGTGAAACGTGGTATAGTGCCTCTAGCATGTCTCGTAGTTGCAGATTTTTGTCCTTGCAAGAATGCTGACGCTGGTAAAGGCTGGACTACACTAACATGTTTTGCAGTGGGCTGAAAGGTGTCCTGCTGATGTGCGCTTCACCGCCGCTGCGTGTTCTCTTGTTCTATATCACTAATGCATTGGCACGTTTTGCCGACCTAACACGTGTCGAACGATAAATGAATGCGGTAGACTACTCCTGTTTAGCACTAAAGTCAAATTTAGGTGTTTTGTGTGCCAAACCAACGGCGGGTACCTGGCATGCCCCAGCGGAGGACTGAGGATTAATTTCGATCACCTGGGGATTCTTTGAAAGGCAACCAAAAGCTCGGTCAAACGGCGCCTTATCCGCAATAAGCCTCCGTCAGATTGCGGGCACCTCGGTCGGCCGGGATTCAAACCCGCCACATGGGGATCCGTAGGCCGGCGCTCTCGCCGACAATGAGGCACCAAGGCAGCCTGTTTAGCACTGGGGAAAATCTTACTATATGAGCAACGCTGCTTGCCTTCTTCTGGTTAGTTCTCTTGTTTACTCAGTCACACATGAACTAGTGTGTGTAGTGCAGGGCATGTCACATGTACGTTCTGTCGTCCGCTATCTTCTTTAATCCATGAGTGATCTCGTAAATGTATGAGATCACGGCGATTTTCTTTCGAGTCTTTTCCGACTCTGTTACTTTTTTACTTGCTGGCGTGCGTTCTAGTCTCTTAGAAATATATTTGTACATCCATACTAAGAAATCGTCCGGACATAGCAATGCTCGTAGTCGAGACATTTGCCTCACTAAGCATAACTCAATTTGATGTACAGTCGGCACGGAATGAAACACGAACAAGGAGCGCATGGTTTTCGACCCACGCTGAGTCACCTACAGACGCAGCACCGAAGGTTTGGATGCACTGAGCAAGGGTCTAACACATCGGAGGAGGAGCCATCTTCTTGCAGCTCTCATCTGGTTCAGGTGGTGCAGCATCTAGTGAAAACCATGCACCCACTGTTCGCGTTTCATTCCGTGCCGACTGTACAGGCTGTGTTGTTGTTGCAAGTTGTTTCCCCATCATCAATGAGCATGTCCAAAGTTGGTACCTCAACCAAAACCGGTAACCAATTTATATGGATTATCAAAAAGGCCATAGCGCCACCCAAACCTTAAGGACCAAAGAAACTAGACATGTGCTATTAGTTTCGTTAGTTTGTTTATCCACCATTCTCTTGAAAAGTTTTTTAATGTAAAGAGGTTCTGCCAGTATAATCTGTTCATGTCCCTATTTTCAAGCTCAAAAATATAAAATTGAAAACACAACATCATTAAAACATAAATGCTGAAAAAATATTTTAGTGTGAAAGTACGTTTCTTGGCAGGCACCCGACTCTTAGATTATTAAATTCTAAATATCAAATTATATAGAAATTAATACAGCACATAAATGCACACGAGCTTCAAATCAACTCGGGCAAGACAGTTGTTTAAAAAAAAACAAAAAAACATCCATTCATTTTCGTGTGTGTGTGTTTTTTTTTTGTTTTTTGTTAAAATATAATAAGATGCTTACTTGCAGATGTCGATGAGGACTTCACTGCTCTTGAACCGTTCGAAGGCGAGGCACTCTATCTTAAAATCGGTAAGATGAGGCAGTATTTCGTTTGTTCTTCTTTGTAAAAAGAAACATCACATGTGATAAGCGTCCGAGCTGAAATGGAAAAACTTTCAATCTTCAGTACTGCTCAGAGATCTAGGACTTTTTTTTATCAAAGTACGAGCATAACTACTATTTTGCAATACTCAATAATAAACAAGCCACAAGCATAGTAAAACAAAAATCATAAATTGTAAAGTTTTCTTTCTCGTTGCGTATGACGTCGCTTAAAGCAATAGATTGTGGCAGATTAAGCCTAACCGGACAGCTGAGTTTAAACTTGTGGTTCAAACTTGTGGTTGTTTATTTTCTACCGCTGTAGAGCGAGCATTTAAGCGGCATTACTTACTGATGTACTGAAAATAATCAAACAATATATTATAACATAATACACCTTTACGTCATGCATCTTCATCTGAATTCGTCGGCGCGTAAACATATTGTGCTATGCGCGATATTTACAGTTTAAAGCGAAAACAATTTCCGCGCTTCTACTTTGCTCGAGTGATGTTGCAAGACAACTAGTACAGCTTTCGTGATTTATACACTTACAATGAGTTCTCAGATCGTTCTCAAACGTTTAGAGTGTAAGATATTTATTGTCATGGCCTTCCATGTCTTCCCTTAACAGGTACAGATCTAAAACTAATACGCCAACAGCTTCCTTTATAAAGTCACTCTTGAGTGACTTTATAAACTTTATAAAAACACTACATATCGTCAATTGAGATTGACGATATGTAGTGTTTTTTTTTTTATTATTGTTTTATCAAAATGTTTGACAATGCCACTGTTTTATTTTAGACATCACCAGACCGAGCCCTAGTACCGTGTACAAGATATACGACGAAGATTTCGAGTGTGAGAATGCCAAGGAACTTTTAGAGAAGGTGTGTCCGGACCCGTGTGACATGACGCTGAGTCGACAGCTCTCCGGTGATTGAAACACAAATGATTTCGACCTATCTGTGTTACTTCTAGCCTTTGTTGGTTATTTTGATTTGTCATGTTATGCAAGCTGGAATAATACACATAATCGAGGAAAACAATAAATATACATCGAATCTAAAAAAGTATGCTTCTTTGCCTGTTTAATATTGTCCGCTTTTTAAATCATATAACTACGTTATTTTATTTGCCTTAGTTCTTATGTAATCCTCCGATTCCCGCGTCAGGTAGCATGCTTCCCCAGTACCACCTATTGCGTTTTGGAATTTTAGAAAACCAGCCAGTGAGAGCCTTTTACTCACTGACTTACTCATGGTGAGCTCAAAAATAAATTGCAACAATGTGGCAGTACTATTAGAGGATATTCAAAAAGAAGGTTGACGTCTTTGGTCTAAGTGAAAGCCCTAGCCAACTAAAAACCATTCAAGACTTCAAAAACTGCGGGTGTGGTCGGCTCATGTCGTTTTCAGTTCGGAGAAAATTGGTAAGCTTTTATTATCAAAATTACACTTGATTCTCGAAGGACAACTCTCGATTTAAGTTTCCTCCATCCCCTGGCATTCGCGGTGAGTTGCTCCCACTTGGGGGCGAGACCGCCTACATTTTGTTTCAAGTCGGAGAGTATAGTGGATGCTACGAAGCGGTGAGGTCTATCAAGTATCGCTAAATGATCAAATTCACGGCCTTTGTCGTCTTTCGGTGTGTTTGCTATCACGGGCGAAACCAATCAAGGTCAGACCACGCGTTGGACATTTCAATTTAAAAGCATAGCATTTAGAGGGCCAGCACCTAGCGCTTTTGTCCATTGAACGTAGCTCAAGCAAGGAGGCGCATCAAGAGGAGGTGCAGGCCTCAATGATGTGGCAAAGGGCGCTCAAGCGCTCTAAAGGTGAAAAGAAAGCAACGAGGTGAGAACAAAGCCAGCAGAATATCAAATACTAGGCGAGGAGATCAACATTAGAGGGCGGTCTTTGCAGCTTGTTTTCCCCAGAGCTCGGTGTTTACCCAGCACAAGACTTGTGGACCACGTCTTACATAACGTGAAATGCCTTGACAATAAACGCAATTACTTTGGTAGGACGTGACAGGCCGGATCACTTCCAAATCAGTCGTCACAGAATGTGAACGCGGCCCACCGCGGCAGCAGAGCGCTGCGTCATTGCTATTGATGTCCCCATGGGTATAGTTCTAAAGTTAGCCACTTGGAGCGCAGCGGTTGGACCTTCTCCCCAACGACTGATGACAGAATAAGAGTGCAAGACAGACACCTTCCGCAAACCCTTCACTCTCTATTTTAGCAGAGCGAACGCTGGCGAGGAGGTGAGTTCCTCCCTGGATCCTCTTGAGCGGTACTCTGCTTGAGGACTTCGCTGGAGGAGCTTCTCACGCACGCTTAACCAATCAACGATTATATCAGAATACATTCTACTCCGCACATTTGCATTCGAAAGCGCGCATGCAGCACCAAATAATCTCCTACCAAAAGGGGACAGCCCGCTTCCGATATCGCATTGGAACCTTTCAATTTTGACCTTGTGGCCGCGCGCGGAGGCGGCTCCTCGTGAGATGGCGAAGTGGATGACGAATCTGACCCCGAGAAGCAGAAACGGCGTGTCGAACGTTCGTGCAGGGTTTTGCAACGACGAAGCCTGCCACTATAATTTATCCCGCAGCCCGGGAAGCTGGGCCGGCGGGCCTCGATTTTCCTGAGGAGAATTCCCGCTAACATTGCCTCCACACCAGCAAGGCGGACGACTTGGAAGGCATCGGGCGTCCGGTCTGCAAGACGCAACTACAGTAGGGAAGTCAAGAGAATTAACCTCGAGCACCTGCTTCTTTTAAGGAAACCGAGCCAAAGAGGCCCTCGGATTAGAGGTCAAGTAGCCTGCCTGGAAGGCTTCCTGCCCGGTCCACCAGACATCCATGGGCCGATACCTTGCGCTCGCTCTTAGACTTTCTGCGTGAGTCGGGTCTAGAGGTGTACATCTAAATTTCCCTCTCCGTACTCAATGTGTGTGTGCAATATTACGTTTAGGCCTCACAGCCATCGACGCGCTCCCTTTAGCTTCCTTCCTTGTTTTTCTGGCGTAATAAACGTGCATTACTACTACTACTGGGCCGTTACAGATAAGGTCGAACAAACACTTTCGATCGGCATTATTAATTCTTACGAAAAAATATGTTGTTTGTGCGCCAAGTAAAACGTAACCATGTTTTTGTAATAATGTTTCTTTTAACAAAAATTTTAAAGTTGCTCTCGAGTGGGCGTTTCGCGACTCGAACAAAGTCGGCAGTTTGAATATTTATGCACACATTTTTTTTTTCGATAGGCTTAATATATTTTGTGAAGAAACTGCACATAGACCTGAATGAGTAAAAATGCTTTTGTTTACAAAGCATTGTATTTTGTAGTAAGAATCGCAAACATGACACATAATGCAAAATAGTCCATATTTAAAGCTTTGTAACTCGGCATTGAAAATTAAGTAAACCTTTTTATGGCTGAGCATTCGTAGAAGTTTATATTCAAATTCAAGGCGCGCAGCCTACCCGAAAAGTGACACAAACGTAGTCAGGTTACTCATTCTTCAATATCTTGGAAACCATTTAAAAAAAGGCCATCTTCAATTTTGTTCAAGTCTTCACAAATCAAGGACAATAATGTGCCATATGAGGCTCCTCAAAAACATGTTTTTCTTTTGTTGTTGTTTTATTTGCGGCGTGCCCAATACAAACGAATTAGCAGCACTGCCGTTACTGGAGTACAAAAAAGAGAATATTTTGCCGATTTCAAAGAAGCGCAAGAAAATGGCCGAATGAATATACTGTGTTTCTGACCAGACAGTGCAGTGACAGGGGTTTGTCAAGATAAATTGTTTATAAAATGTATATTTGAGTTTAGTACAAACTACAAGCGCTTCCCTTACGAACAATAAAAATAATGTACCGATTTCTGGATTCTGCCACCTATATTGTTTACAAAAGCCGGTCTGTGAATGAACTTGAGAGGCTCCGCTTTTACTCGTCTTTTTGTTGAACGGGGAGTTTGACTGCGGTCAATTGACACGCGAGGTAAGGGCACCACAATAAGGCTGCCCCTGTGTGTGACTGGGAAATAGAAGACGTAACGAAACTTGGTGACCTGAGAGACGCAGCTGGGATCTTCCGTTTCATAGGAGTGCCCAAGCTGCGAGCGGTTTCTTGGTTAGTTCCGCCTGTGATGGCTCTCGCTTGTCTACGTGTCCTCGGCATTTCTTTATGGCTGAACATCACAGTTGGAAGAGCGTCTTTTGCGCCGATTACTTGGAAGAGGCGTGTGGTGGTCTGTTATGACGCTACGTGCAAGTCGAACTCCTGACCCGGAGAGTCTCTGTCACGCAAAGGGGATTACCCAACACCATCCAGGGTACCCGATCGCGTGGCAGAATAAACGCCTGAGCTCTCCCCGAGGGGGTCGTGCCGAAGAACGAGAGAGGCGACCTGCGACCGACGGCCGGAGCGGGCGCAAGTTTTTTCCGCAATCAAATGTGGCAATAATCGATCATTTTCATAAATCATATTTGAAGAAAGACATCAGTACCTATAAGGGACAAGGTTTTACCAAAGAAGCTTTTGAAGTGTGAGCTATTTGTTCTGGACACAGTTTTGTCAAACGCTCGTCTCTCTAAATAAGGTCTTCCAGTCCGAAAAACGGATTTTATGTGCGTGAACTGCTTCAGCTGTTTCGGGGAGGGGACTGCGGAGCCGTGGGGCACCTCGGGATCTCACAAACATTTTGTTCCAAAATACGCAGCCGTCAAGAAGCTGAACAGGTGAGTGCAGACTCCAGGAATTTTTAAGTACGGGCAGTCTTCAAAACCATGCCTCACTGTAGCGATACACTCTAAAAAAACATCCCTTATTAAAGGTTCTTCGACGCACCAAGAACGCTTTCAACTCGTGAAAAACGGTTTCAAATTAAACACTATCGACCCCTGGCGCACTAGAAAGGCAAGTGGGCGATGAAGAACTTTTTTGTTAGAAAAGGTTCTCTATAATTTTATTTCACGGTTGCTCGGAGTAACCGTGAAAACTGGCGTCCACCGAGAGAAGCGGACGGAGTGACAGGACGCTTTTGAGCTAGGAAGCTTCGCGACGTTCGCTAGATGTGACCACATGACAGCGGACACCACATTCACACTCCGATTACTTGCCTTGACTCGGCCAAACGTTACTAGAACATCTCAACCAAGAAACTGCCATATATCCTGGTTTCAAAAAGTTGCACCCAGCCGTACACCAGGCCCGAGCTAACGGCGATTACAACGCCGCTTTTTTTCCCGCAGCGGCCGCTTGAGGAACTGCACGGCTGTATCGGTCAGGGAGTATCGCATTCGATAGAATCTGCTCTGACAGTTCTATTTCGGCTTTAATCGGCCATTTTGGAGCTGAAACATATACGGTGGAAAGGGTTTCAGGAATACCAATCACGAGTCTCCCAAGCGGACGCGCCGCGAATTAGTACCGAAGTTAGGACGCGCCCAACTCGGGATGCGCTACCTGAAATCACCGGTGAGACATGGTTGTATAAAAACAATATTATTGTGCCGCAAAACTTTGTAAAGTAAAGATTTCAGAAAACATATCGCGCCGGTCATTTGTACTAATCTCCAGTAAAAGTACCTACAAAAAGAGCTTTTTTGTTTGTTTTTTACGCAAAAACATGATTTGTAAAGGTTATGGAGGCTCCAGTAAAGAAAAAAGATTCAGCCGCCATCTTGCGACCTCGAGCCTGGGAGTTTTGGCACTCTATGAACATTCAGTGACTCGTGAAATGGTGACGCTTTTATTCTACTTAGCTCGGTCTCGGTGGACGCCAGTGACCCATATGTTTCAATGGTGGGTTTCTCGGCTGAGTGTTTCAGTAACGTTGGCTTGGTCCAAGACTCGAGCCAACACTCGCT